AACTAGTCTAGTAACATCAAGGTGTTTGCTATTTAAGTATCTAGGTATATTTTTATGTATCGACACGAATCTCAAAACATAACGTTATTTCAAATAATAAAAATAAAATGTTTGTAAAATCGCATAAAATTATTTTCAATATACCTAGTAAGTATAATATATACAAATATAATAAGTAGTTCTAACGGATATAAACCGTGAGTCATTTTAAAACGTATTAACATTTATTATAACAAAACTTCTTATATAAGCGTTTATTTATGTCAACTAAGTATTATTTTTAAATTTAATTTAATACTAAAAAACATTTATACTGATCTTGAAAGAATCAACATAATTATCTTTGTTCGCATATTTTTATGGATTGTAATTAAACTAAAAAATTTAAATCATTTAACATCAATATAATATGAAGGCAGTACAATTGCAATCCAACACAAACGAAAACAATTAACAGTTTGTACATTTTTTACATGCGTTAAATAGTGAGCAATTATTTTAGTTCCCACCGGGTGTATTTAATGCAATACAGGTAAACGTACCTTCGACGTGAAATCGCCAAAAACGGATATACCTACCTACATACCTGTATTGGTTGTGACACTAGCATTAGAGAAGACAGCTGAAGGTGACATACGTCAAAATCATAGACATCTGTAATGGAAATGCATTAAAACATGAACTTCCGGTCTTGAACTCGATTCCGTCGGACGACGGAAATTTAAACTTAGATCACTAGATCACTACGCAGTCAATAATAATTGTCGACGCATGAGGATACATTTTTCAAGATGAATTTCAGATAAAAATGTCATTTATTTTTTCTTCTAGTTACAGTTTGGCAAATCGGGTGTAACAATGGTAGGCAGGGAGTCAAAGTAGGCTGACTTTTCACGGGTTCCGGTTACCGGGTAAAATCAGGTTTCATGTTTACTGGGGTTTCGGTTAATGGGTTAAAACCGTGTTTAATGTTTTCTTAGATTTCGGTCAACTGGTTAAAACCGGATTTTATTTTTTCTTATTTGCATGATAAGGTATATCATAATTTTGTTAGGTACATGGGAAGGGTTTCAAGTTTTCTCTGAAGCTTCAAAAACTACTCCTTTTACAGAAAATACAAGTACCAACAATTGTATTTAACCAAATTAATCGAATTATATAAGTAATATATATTACATAAATATAAAAAAATATAAAATAATAATAATAATATAAACATTACAAAAATAAAGTATTACTTATTACATCATTTTTAATTTTAATTTTCTAGTCATAAACTCTCAAAAGTAATTGTGTTAATAAAAAATTTATACAAAACCATTAGATAGTTTTATTTATGTAATGAAATAAATTCCTACCTACTGATTTATGATATGATAAACTAAATTTTACTGCTAAAACTAGAAGATAGCTTAAAAAAAGTATTTCATATACCTAATGAATTATTGAAAAATATAAAAAATAACTAATTATTCATATGTGGCATGCACATTAATAGGTCTATTATTTTAAAATATTTTGGTAAGTGGAATTAAATATGCAGTTAAATAATTATAGAAATCTTAGGCACCGGAAAACACATAGATACAAATGAAATATAAATAATATCGCACACTATAAATTTTATGTACCTATGAAGAAATAGTGAAACAGTGTAATAATAAAATTTTTATTTATTTATTATATTTGATTAACATAAAACTTTCTAGAATGATTGAAGAAAGATTTCCGTGTAGATAATTTAATAATGAACTGACGATTTTCTAAGTTTATAGTTTATAGGTTTATAAGGTTTATAGTCAGGGGCGCAATTTCAATGAAAAAACTAGGGGTGCTGAAGCCCTTCTATCTTTTTTATGATTGTTAATGGTTATAAATACCCGCAACCCATACAATTCAATAGTTACTAAAATATTTGGTAAATATATGAATATTTCTAAATTTAAATTGTTCACTTTGATTTTATATTTTTATTGCGCATATAACTAATTACCTGTTTAAAAACACAAATGTTTCCTCGTATGATCACTTTTAGATTCTGATTGAAGCGAAGGATATAATGGTTTTATAATGTTTGTATTTTATTTTTTTAACACTTTCGGATAAAAATGCTGGTCCAAAAGTTTTTTCTAGGACCTTTTTTAGATTTTAAATCGGCATGTGGTAGTACTTTAAATAGGTAATTTTTTAAATTTTAAGTTTTCTCAGGCATGAAAAAAAAACTAAAAAAAAATTTATATATTTATACAATAAAAACTGTTTTTCTATACATAATGAGTAATGAGTATTTAAATGTAAATTAACATAAACATATTTGAGGGTGCTAAGCACACCCAAGCCCCTCCCAAATTGCACCTATGTAAATAGTATATTTTATCAATGGTATTACTACCTACCAGCATCGTCGGTATTAATGGATAGAAATTAAAAACACACATTTAATTTCCCATTTACGTTCGCCGAAAATAAAGCTTTAGTTTTTTATATCAAGTTAGTTCATGGTTTTACATTTTAAATTACATTTCAATATTAATTTGAACTCCGGTGTTTGAGTTGAAAATGGGTTTAATTTTTCTCCGGGTTTGAGTTACGGGTAAAAATCGAGTCACATATTCGTCGGGTTTCGATTCATACCAAGTTTCAAATTTTTCCCGAGTACCCCGAGTATCAAAACCGGTATGTAATACATTTTGACTTCTTGATGGTAGATATGAAAGTTCACAGTTTTCCATACCTTCTAACCACAAAACGGGAATAGATTGAAATCAAACGCGTACGTTTTGGTGGGTGTTATTACACGTATACCTAATCATCGACGTTTCACATGAAAACGATTGCTACTTTTGACAGTACCGAAGAGATCATGGAATATAGGATGACGACGGAAGTTCTGAGTCCTTTCGTAGGTTTGTTTTAGACTGAAAAATACTTTTATTACATATGTTAAAATGCGTTTTTTATTGTTATTAGCTTCACGAATTCCATCATAAATAAATAACTATGATTTCCACAAATGTGCTTCTATCGTTCATCATATTTAAGGCGTAAAGTATAGGTATGGATCTCAAAAAACACATTTAAATATCCACATAACATGCATATACGCTTAACTAGATTTATTTCAAAATGTGCTTGGATACGATTAATTCTTTATGATAATTTACATTCTCGCCTTAAATTATATGGATAAAAATAAATAAAATATACAATAATCAATATTATTCAACAAAAAATTAATAATGATTACAATAGCCAAGCATCTACATATAAATAAAATTGTGTTTATACTTTTTATGTAAACAAAAGAAATTTCAATAAATTAAGGAGCATATTTTTTCCATAAGTTATGAATAAAACAAAAGATTAACTATCTAAACATAAAGTAATTCCAACCGACAATAACCATTATTTGATGATATGCACATAATTTACAATTATTATTAATAAGTGTATAAACTTCAATTCACAGAATAGGGTATAAAGTAAAAACATATTTTTTAAATGCCTTTTTATAAATTATATTAATACATACAATCACAATATAATAATTTATGTTTATACATATAATATAATATGTATAAATATATACATATTTATCTACTAAAAAAAAATTTTTTTTTTTTAATTCAAATTAAGTAATTATTTTTAAACAAAATTCTTTCAAAAACCATTATCAAAAAGTATTTTTAATATTACAGATATTAAATAAACAAATGTCAACACACATTAAGATTTATTGGAGTCCAAAAGACATATCTTTTCTACTATAAGCTACATAAACCACAGTTAAAAATTTTAATTTCTGTAAGTATTTAGATGTAACTACATTTTGAATTGTTCTAAAATATAAATCTGAACTGCTCACTTAATTAAACATACATACTTTAAATACAGTATACATTATTTAAGTATATATTAAGTTTGAGTTACTTCATACAAAGTATGATTTGGAATACTTAATTAATATTTTAAATGAAAATAAATAATTATAGGAACATGCATCTTTATATTGAAGGAAATTAAAAGAAGGTTTAAAAATATAATTCCAGGTAGTCAAACTGAAATTTAAAGCCTACTATGTTATAATTAACAGTCATCTTAATGGCAGTGATAATTTACATGAAATCATTGATAATTATATATATATATATATATATATATATATATATAAAAAAAAAATAAAATAAATAGTAATTGCTCCAGTAAAAGAGATTTTGAATAATCACTCTATTTGTACTTAAAAAACTGTCATATAAAAAAATATTTTTTCATAAAAAAAATATATGTATATGTCAATATATATGTATTATAAATAATAATAGAATGAGCTTAATACGTATGGCAAAAATTGTACTCGTTTTATGCAATTATTATCAAGATTATTTTAAGGTAAATTATTAAATCAACATTATCTATATAAATAATTCAAAATTTTAATTAAGAATACTTATTAAAAACGGAAATTCTGTCTTTAATGTTTCCAAAAATGTAGAAATATCAATGTTATGGAAAATAAAATCCATAAAAGTACAATTAATAACAATAAAAAAAAAAAGCACTAAAACAAATTTTTCGAGATCTACAACACATTTTGAAACCCATAAAATGCAAGAACAAAACACTAGCAAAACATTTTAGAATACCCATAGAAAAATTGAAATTATTTTTGTTTTCAAATGCCATGACCTAAAAACCACTACCAGAAATAATCATTTTTCCATTTTGGATACATTTTTTCAGTCTTAATGTAGACAATTTTTATCTTTGAATAAAATTAAAAATAATATAGGTAAAAATTACACAAAATTTATCTATTTGATACAAGAAATCCCATTATTATAGGTACAATTTAATTACACATCTAAATAATTATAAATAATTTTTTCTAATACCATAATTTATATTAAATATATATATACTTATAATTAGATAATATATGCACAAGAACATATATTAACCAATTAATAAATATTCAATAAAGTTAACTTTGATAAGAAACATTTTAGAGCAAATTAAAAAAAATGAAAAATCAATAAAATGTATTATTATGGGATAGGTTGAGAATTGGTAAAACATAATTAGAGTATTTCACCCAAAAGATTACCAAACAGCTAATGCATTAAAATAACACTAGACTAAAAATATGAACACAATTTACGATAAAAAAAAAAAAAAAAAATATACACTTGTTCTTATTTTACACACGTTTGATTTACATTCAACATAACGCAAACACTTAAAACTTTGTGCGATCATAAACATTTACTAATTTATGAAAGTAATTACTAAGTAGTAGGAAATTAATATAGGTGTTTATTTTGTGACATATCATAAAATGTTTATAAAACCCACATTTCTTAATTAAAATATCCAATCATAATTATGCAAGAATTTACTATTCAGGAATAGGTTTGAATAAAGTATCTAGTCAATAACTGAGCCAAATTAAATATATCATTTAACAAATTTAAATAAATAGGAAACATTTTTTAATCAACTGATTATATTTTATCATCATTCTATCAGAAGATAATATAAGATAATATTAGTTAACTGTTGGAAATGAGATATAACTCACAATACCTATCAATAGGAATACAATAATCAAAATAGAAATGTTGATAATAAAAAATCAATAGACCTAGTTCAATCATAGAAATATAATTTTCATTTTTTCTCTTTTCATGGAATTTTGGCATAATATTAAGATAAAAAATAGTTAAGTTTAGAAATGGATACAATATTCTAGTCCCATCGAATTAAAAATTCTTCCGACCCATCTGGATTAATTCTTTTACATAATATTGTATATTCTTCTCCATTGGCAATTCTATTACTAGCCCCAAAATAAGAATGTACAAGAGTTTTAAGGTCTGCTGATGAATTTATAGCATTTTCAGGAGAACATGGCCTATTTACCGATTGGCCATGATTAGCAAAGAAATCCGAATAAGATTTGTAAATTGGACGGCCATTACAGCTGTTCTTAGACTGTCTTTTTGTTGAAGTTAAACTACTATTTGATAATCCACTTCGACGCAGTCTTTTAGGTTTCACTAAATATTGTCCATTACGGTCAACACGCAAATCTTTTTCACTTAACCGTCGTTTAGTAGTACGAACTTGTGGTTGTGAAATTACAGGAGCTAAAGATAATGGCAAAGTAATCGATGAAGCAGATCGAGTCTCGCGTGGGAGAGATGATCTAGCCATTGGTCGTCCATTTAATAAACGATTAACACTAAGTCTTTGACTACGACGGCTTTGAAGATCAGCTGTTTGTAATGAATCAGCATCATCTTCATCATCTAGATCTTCATCATCATCTGCATCATCTTCACTGCTCAGTTCGTCTTCGGTTGGAGATACATATTTTTCTGGGGTACTTTCAGTTGAACGTGACGGTGATCGACTTTCAGGAACTTTTTCTTTTTTTGTTGATTTCTAAAATTAAAATTAAATTGGGTTATGCTGTAAAATAGAATTTTTAAAAAATTACTTTAATTTTATTGGCAATGACACTTGAACTCCGAGAACTTCGTTTATTTGTTTCTATTTGCTGTAGCCTAATCCGCCGTTCAATTACAGATCTTGGTGCTGGTACAATTGGGCTGGCGCTTTTGATACAAACCTTTTAAATAAATATGGAAATTATAGTAAATTAAATAGATCACATATTGTATAAATTAAAAAAAAAAGTTTTTAAAAATATAATCTATAACTAGTCTATTGTAATATTATGTAGTATATAATACAGAACAACCACAACTGGAACCTTAATAATTAAAAATTCTTTAGCTCAATTTAATGGGTTTCAATTTAAAGGTGTTATACTATACTAAAAATGAAAGGAAAATATTAACATTTTGAATTCAACATAAAATCTTTGTAATAATAAAATTAAAAAATAATTGTTTTAATTAAAATAACTTAAAAAAATTTATGACATCAAAAAAATTGTTTTTTATACCAAAAATTATACGAATATCATAAATATATATATACATATATATAGAATATTATAATATATTAAATTTCTTAAGATATATCAATAAATAAATTATTTCATAAATGATCATTTTCTTATCATAGGTCAAGGATATTACCATAACTAAAAATTAAAACAAATTATTTTTAAAATATAATAATTTAAATTGTATCCACCAATATAAAATTATTTTTAATTTCTTAAAAGCTGATAACCTTTGAACATAACACAGTTAACTTTAAGAATTTATTCAAAACATACAGTAACAATTATTCAATAACTTAAATACTTTTGCATTCAGTTTTTATTCAGAATCTAATAGTAAGAAGTGATTTTCTCAAAATAATTTAATGATAAACATATTAATACAATTAATTTATTAAAATATCTATATTAATAAGAACAAATAAGGAGTTCAATTTAAATGATATAAGATTAATAAGTTAACTGCTATGTGTACTATTTTTGGTACATGGTTCATTTGCCATTCGAGCTAATCCAAATAGTAGCGAACATGCCTTATTTGCTACAAGCTAAAACTTTATGAAAAACTTTGATATTTTTATTTTAATTTATTATGTAATTATAAAATGTGATTTTGTATCGAAATTAATGATTTTCTATCGTGTACCAAAATATGATACATGTTAGCTCCCTAGGAATGTCAGATATAAATATAATTTGATGATTAATAATAATTTTGTTAGTTAAGTAATATTGTTTAATAGTAACTGTAAATAATACTATTTATGACCACTCTTTAAGTGCAGTTTCATTACTGATAATGATTTTGTATTATTAATTGTAAAATATGATGAATTAAATGTGAAATAAGTGTACAATATTATTGTCTATAATACTTTTCATTGAACCATAATATTAAAGTAGAATAATCTTTAGTAACATTTCTTTAATAATTCCATTATATTTATAATATTTATTATAATAATGATATAAATAAATACATTATTTAAAATTATTATGGTGTTTTAAAAATTTTTTTACCTAAAAAATTAAGTTTATAAGATATCAAAATGCTGATTGAAAATGTATTTGCCTGTGTTTAAATCGTATTTACGTGTACTATAGTAGGTACACTGACACTTTTTAGCAAAGACTTTAGTGTACCAAAAATAGTATAAGTAGCTCTTCAGGCAATGTACCAAAAAATAATGTAGGGTTTAATCTGTTAATACATAAGAATTCATGGAATAATTAAAGCTATTTGCACCTATGACAATGAGTAACTTTTAAAAGAATAGCAAAAAATCAAAAGTAATTAAACATCTGAAATAATGTAATTATTTCTATAATTACTCATTTAATTTGATAATAAATCAACATATTGAACATAATATTGATTGGCATTTAAATACAAATATTTAATAAATACATACATTATGACCTATTGATGGGAGGCCTTTTGGTAACATAACTACATGTGAATCTTGATGTAAGAATTTTAATCCTTCCACTGAATACATGGACTCAGTAAGTCGTTGATTTATAACAGGATCAGTCCTAAAATAGTTTTCATATAATTTATTAAAAACACTAAAATATCAACATGCATTGACTTCTTCCATTTTATATTTTTAACCATACACACAAAAAATATGTAATTCTACAATACATAAATAATTTCAATTTTAGTTTATAACAGTGAATGATATGTATTAATTCATTGAAAAGTGTAATTTAAAGGAAATTAAAAAATTAAAAAATGATTAAGTCATGTAAATCTTTTTAAAAACAACGAATAAAAAAATCTAACAAAAAATAATATTGTTAATATTTTTATGTATATGAAAATCAAAAGAAAATGTATTATAAAAACAAATTCAAAATGTTGTTTTAAAAATTAAATTTTATATTAGAATTTGTTGAATATGTTAATTATATAACTGCATCCAATATACCTATTAATTTCTGTTAAAACCTCTGCTTTTAATGGTACAAATAAATAATTGGAGTAAAAAAAAGTTAAAAGTCAAAAAGTATGAGACATAAATATAAATACTTTTTTGGAGGTGGTAGTATATTGAGATTAAGTTTATTGCGTAATTGATGGTGCAGGAGGTTCTCATTAATTGGAACTTGTGTAGGTAACGAAAAACGTGGGGGCTTTGGTGGCAACTTCAGTCGTAGTCCCCACATATTGGTGGGTTTTTTACCCTGATATTCAAACCTCCTGAAAAATAAATACAAACATGCAATAAGATTTAGTATAGCATAGTATGAATAATGATTTCAGTAATAATTTTATTTTAACTATAACGCTTGACAATTTATTCTAGGATAAATAAAATACTAACTGATTGGTGTCTTTGAGCAGGGCATTGACAACATATACTTTCCTGTCGTCAACAGGAACATTAAGAATCTGTAAATGAATATAACACAAATATAAATAAAATAGCAATCCATTGATTAAACTATACAATTTTATTTATTTTAAAATACATTATAATTATTGGTAAAATGACGTGATGAATTTATACAATTTATTTTAAATATAACAATTACAATTAATTTAAAAAAAAACAGTGACGTTAAGGTAAAATTATACATGAAATGAGTTTCATTAATTTTCAATTATTTCTATATAATACTACCATGATTATCAAAAGATATAGGAATATTAAGAGCAGGATTTACAAAAATAATAGATACATGGTGTAAAAAAATGACACACATTATCTTTGAGTGATTTCCTGTAAGTGAGAGAAATCAATAACCTACTTAGTCTATGACTTAATTTACTTAAAATGTAATTGCTTAATCTAATAATTTGTAGATGGTTTAATAAAATAATTCTTTCAATTGCTATAGTAAAATATATGTTTTCTATGAGATGTATTTCAAAACTCCTGAATATAAAATGTTAAATTGGTTTTTAAAGGATTTTAAGAATCTGGGAGTCTCAATTTTACAATACATTAAAAATTAAATAAAAAATCTACTGCAAGTATTCCCAGAAATTTTATACTTTTAAAATGCAATATAGGTTTTTTATTCTACTTATTAACATATTGCTCAAATTAGAATGTATCATTTTTTATCACCCTATACAAAATAGGAATTTAGCAATGAAAATTGATTAGATGAAATTATACAATGTTAACATTAATAATTAATAAATATTATGTGTGTTTAGCTTTAATAATAAATAAAGTGGATACAAAATAAAATTATATAAAAGAAAAAAAAGTAATAAATAAATTTTAACATAGAATAAAAACTAATTGTTATACAAATTATTTAAAAATAATAATAACATACTTTAGGAGGTAGATACATTGAATTCCAATGGTTATCTAAGTATGGAAGTATATTCATATCCACATCATAATATTTCTGTGGTTTATAAGCAGTCATATTAAATAAGGCTAAATGAACTAAGTCAGACCAATTCATTTCAATTCGACGAACGAACTCTGTACCTTCATTGCACACAGAACACAAATAAACATAAAATCTAAAAACAAATAAATAATTTAATTGAAATAAAATTATAACCCTAATATAGTTTGTTTAAAATATTTATCATATTACTAAAATCAAAATTTATAAAAAGTAGCCTATATACTTTGGATCATATAAATACATAATAAATTATACTAAAAATTATTATTATTATTTTTTATTAAATAAATAAAATTATTAAAAATCGGTTTTTGACACTGACTTGGCGCCAATGACAATTGATACAATTAGTTGTATTATTAAACAAGTCATAACTGAAAAACCATTAAACTAGACTTATTAATGCAAATAAACATAAAATTGTTTGTATTAATATGATAAACATTATTAGTCAATTTTTAAATTAAATAGTTTTTTTAGTTGATCACTATAAATAGCTATGTGCAAACAATGAAATAAACTTTTGTTAAATAAATTTAATTTTACATACCTGTCACCAAGATATAGAGGATATACTAATGATTTAACACATTTTTCATGAAACCATTGTAAACATTTACAACATTGCAACATGTTGATAAACCAATCACCTGATCCTCCACAATAGCAATAAATTCCTAAATTGTTAATACGATGATGTATGTCCCATTGTAAAGAATTTAACTAAAAAAAATACAATTACATTAAACAATTTATTTAATATAAGTAAAAATATCTAAAAACTTACATCATAAGGTAGTTTTATAATTTTTGGAACAACAGTGCTCGATACAGAGTTTACAGCTTGCAGTCTATTAATCCGTTGTTTTTCCTTGCACAAGGAACATGCCCAAACAGTAGTATCTACTACTGAAACTTCAGGCTGAAAAAAAGATAGAATAAATATACAATTTTAATATTAACGAATACAAATTATTTTTGATTTTGGTTTAATTTGCATAAAAATAACTATCTAAATAATTAATTTAAAAATAAACAGCATTTAACTTGGCATTAGTCATGCTATGATCAAAATGACTGCATTTTATTATTTCGTCTTTAATAAAACATACATTTTATATATCAATCATTGATACTCAATATACTTTTTAATAATGTTATTAAAAATAATATAATATTCTAAGTAAATTTACATATAGATTAAACTAAGGACATAATAAAAACAAGCATGCCTTATACTAGATTAATAATGTAATCAGTATCCTCACACATATATATTATCTTGAGCATAACTTTATTATTAGAATCAAATTTTTCATTATATTTAAATAAAACATGAACTTTATAAATATGAATATTTTACAAAATCTATAATAGTATGAAGCATATAATTTCTAGAACTACAATTTATAGCTAAAATACTTAAAATTATAAAACAATTTTCACTTCCACACAAATTAATTTAAATAAAAATTACACCAAAAAAAGTGAGAAAATTAAAGATGTGAAAGGATTTATTGAATAATATAAGTTTGAATAAGAACAAACAAGCAGTAACTTATTTATAATGCCAACTTCGTGGTATTCCCTTGAGAAATTATACTTTAAGATCAGAAATATCACAAATATATTATATTTACCTTGTGACATTTTCGATGATATGCATTAGCACAGATATCACAAACACAAATATCTTCTGGCATAGTATCGATATTGCACACATGGCAAAATTGAGTAGTTGTACTCGTACATGTCATCCGCGTGACATTTTTTAAAGCTACCCATTTTACTGTATTATCACCAAACTTAACTAAACATTTAGACTCTTTAAACCTCAGCTAAAAACAAAGAAAATTTGATTAATAATGAATACTTATTTTAAACATAAGTATTATGTAATATTTACTTTAGCTAAAAATCCTAAATAAAATCGTTCGTCATTTAGGTGAACCAATACTTCTTCTCCACAAACATAACTCTTACTTTCAACAGTTGTGCTGTCAGGAGTAGGGGCCTCAGGGCTCTCCCTTTTTACCTAAAAAATGATACAAATTATGATATAAACATAATTAAATTTTCTTAAAAAGTTAAAAATTGATAAATAATTTAAGCATAGCTCTAAATTCTTCAGAATTTAGCTTCTTAAATTATGAGTTTAAAGATATTTAAATATACATAAGCCATAAGAGTTGATTTAGTTTTCAAATAAAATGGAGTTGAAACCTCAAATTATAAATTCAAATATTGAATGAAATGTAAAAATGTAAAATTTTTGAATTTTATGCTGAATAAATAAAAAAAATTATACTTCATATATTATTTATGTAAATAACTATCATATAATCAAGTTCACTAATAAATAAGGAAAAATAACTAAATATGGAAGTTAATGGAAGCAACTGTTAACATGATTTTCAATATAAATTTAAATAGCTTCATCCTAATGATTACTAAATAAATTTTACATATTTATTATAATTTTTTTATATTATTTTAAATTTGAATGTTAGACCTATAATAAATCCGAATTTAATATTTTTTTGAAAAAAAAATGATAATCCTTACTAGTAAAAATTATTTATGAAGTTTATATGATTATATTCAAGAATAAAGGAAAATAAATGATCATGATATAACTATGAAACTAAATCTAAATGGCATCTAATACAAATATAAAATAAATTACTTACCGATTCTTTTTTTATCTGCAACATTTTGTCAGCTATTCATTTTCAAGTTATTCTACAAATAAAACAATAAATATTTTTATTGATAATGACACAGATAAAACATTATATTAATAATAACATTCAAATACAAGATCAAATGAAATTCATAAATTTAAAATAGATAGATAACTGAAGGAGTTTGGAGTAAGTGTTCAGCACTTAACATGGACTGAGTGAACACTAAGTTTTGTCTACAGCAAACTATAAACATGATACGGTAATCTAACGAGTAAAGCCTCTACCATGAAATATGAACCTATGAGAGCTAGCATTGCAAGTGACCATAATGCAAACTAGACGCAGGAATTGAACAGAAACTAATGTCTCGTCAACTGTTCTAGTTCGTAAAAAAAACGACAAATTTTCCGCAGACCCTTGATCTGCCCGATTTGGAAGATCACCCACTAACAATCACAATGTACTCGACTCGATTGAACTGTGAGCGACTGCACCCACCCGTGTTTCGAGCTGCGAGTGCGATATTCGCGATCACCTTAGCCTCGCAAAACGATAGCGTTCACCGGACGATCAGTACGAGTCGGATTAACCATATCTTCTCACAATACACCTGGACATTAGCGTGCTCCGTGTAAACGGGAAACAGGAAACGCGTCCGGCGCTCGTGCAAAGCATCAAAGACGCGCGCTTCGACTTGGCCCAAACGGCTGCTCGACTTACCGAAAAAGTGAACTTACGACGACGACGACGACGACCACGACAATCGCAAAAGCGACAGTAATCCTATTCCTATACAACTTGCCGTCAGCCTTTTGATTACATTGTTGACCGGACCGCTGGGCTCGACGTCTATACCTATGTTCATGGCCCTCGTCGGATCAGTGAACTGCGCTGTCCCGGGTGGCACCACTGCGCCGCCGCCGCCGTCACCGCCACCTGCCGACTAGTGTTATCAGTGTCTCGGGTGGGTCGCACGTCGCCTCGCGGGGATTTTCGTTAAAGTATTATAATTTATTTTTAAATTATAATTATTAATTGGCTAACAATACTAATATGATGGTTCGCGCGTCGCGCATATTTTAATTGACCGATGATTGGTTCGGCATTCGGCAGTAAAGACGAGCTCCATTTTGCGCCGCAGTGTCGCACGCACTCCCGATGGACTAGACAATACTATTCTAGGGGCCTCTATATCAATAATTTTTGTTGCGACCTATATGTATTAAAATATAATATTTATCATAAAAACTCGAATATTAAAATGTGTTTCGAATTCAATTTGGACCGATGAAAATCATTGCAGTTTTTTTCCCCATAATCTGATTTCGCTTTCAAATCCGGATGTCTTATCCCTTTTGAGGTTAGCCCTTGAATGGACCTACTCGTATGGGGCTCTTGTTGTATGGTAATCGTAATATTGGAATTGGAAATGAAAGCTATAACAAGACCAATAATAATATACGTCTTCAATTCACGGCAATGTCGTGCCTACACAAGATCACGGAAGTACAAGTTATTTATTACCTACAATATTAGTAGTGTACCTAATCTATACTTTAATGAATGTATGTAAGTGATATACCTACAGTCAAGTCGTGATAATAACGACAATAACGAATTCTTGAAGGCTAGAAAAAAAATATCAGATCTTTGGAAAAATGTGTAGATTTAATAATTATTCAGATATGTATATACATACATGAATATTTTATCTCGGCCATAAATAAATAATATGCTGACGTGAGATACTATACTATGTTTTACACAGTGTATGCAGTTCTAAATTTAAATAATGCAAATTTGTGGAGTTCCTCGAAAAATAATAGTTAACATTTTGAGTCATGAAATATATCACTTGATTTTTAAATGGTTATTAAAGATAATGTAAACTATCAAGTATCTAGTAATGATGAAATGTTAAACAATTTAAATAAAACAATTTGATCCCACATATTATTTAAATTGTTTTCACCTATAAATTGTAAGTTAAATGTTCAGAAAAACTATTATACTAATAATGTGTTAACATTCCAACCAATGTGTTTTGGTTTATTATGTCAGTTATAAGTACTATTTATAAATACAATCAAAATTAAATTCAGATAGTAAATCTAAATCGATAATAAAATAACGTGCACTTAAGTATGTTAGGCCCATTATGCTCTGCTCAGAACAGTTTTCAAATGTTAAGATACACTCTGTGTATCAGTGGTCAAACCCACTTACCACACTTCAACCAAATTTCGTCTAGTGACTGCTGGTCTTAATTTGTATATCAATAATAATAATTACATACATTCCATGTTTTCAAATATGTTATACGTAACGGAGAACATAGATAAGTTAAAATAAATGCGAACTTTAAATATCATTGTTAACTAACCATCCAGTGATTTTATTAACCAACAAAATGTTACTTTAATACGATATGTGATCTTGTATGCTTGCAAAATGCCAACAAGCCGAAATTCTTACCCACTGCGTAATTTAAATAAAACCTTATCGTGCGTTTGTGACTCCTTGTGAACTCAAAAATTGAGATGTTTTTGCTACATCTATTTTTACATATGGCGCTGATATAGCATTTATTTTTTATTTTTTATTTTTTAAATCAATTTTTCAAAGACTAATGGTCTATTTTGCCTGAAATATTTTCTTCACTGTGTGGGCTGTCGTAGTGGATACATGTAGTCAATTATTTTTTTCCCGCAGCCTCGTTTGCAGAAATATTTAAAATAGTGAACAAAACTTCAGTTATTACTAGAACACAAATTTATATACATTTGCATATTTATTCTGGTTGATCGCATGATATGCTCAGTTAGCACAACATTTGTTTCATGACATTTATAATGATTTAACCAATTAAACTTTTTTAAAGCATATTTTTGCATATTTCAACATTTATCAATTTATTTTTATTTTAATGGCTTATTTTACGATTTTAATTGCATATTATTAACTAGGTATTGTAATTTAAGTGGTAAATCTATTTATGAAAAATGTAGAAAAGTATTAAAAAATTAAGGCACGACACATACCTAAACTAAAATATTAAAAAATTTAAATGGTGAAAGTCAATCAATTCAAATCTACAAAGATTTATTTCTAAATTAAATGATATTTTTTAAATACATAACTATTATTTCTGAAGACTAAGAAAATTAATTTGCAAGATATAAACATTGGTGACTGGTAAACACTAATCAATAGTTTTTGAAAATTAGCTAAAATGAGTGTCATACAATGCAATTTACATTGAGGTCGGTACACATGAACGATTATTTATCGGACGATATTTTTATCGTATTAAAATGTTATCGTACGATATTTAAAATTACATGGTTATAAATAGAGTTGTTCATATAATAACAATAAAATATCGTACGATAAAAATATAGCACGATACCACGAAAACTGTCGTATGCATTTTCAACTTCTATACGATAACAATATCGTACGATAAAAATATGTCAATAAAAATGTACAAAAATAAACGGATTAGTACACACGAACGATAATTATCGTTCTAAACATTAAGTTTATACATGGTTTATCCACTTCGGAGGAGGATGATAGTGACAGCTCTACTGGAGCCAAATCACCATTAAAATCAATGGAATTGGCGGATGAGGATTTACAAATCGATATTGATATTCTCATTAGTGAAATCCAAGCAAGAACCCACATTTTTCGACTGTTCTCTCTTTTTTTTCTATAATAATAAATAAAATTATAATATCATTCATTGTTATTTGTTTATAAACTTAAAAATCTATATCCAATAAATTAATGTGCACGAGAAACTGTACACGCACAATATACAATAAAACATACAATGCACAGTTCAATACTGACTTTAAAATCTATAAATTAATTTATAAACTTTTAGTTCGTCCTACAAAAAGTCGGTCGTATGTCATAACTAGGGCTCGGAGGTTGATGATTTTAAAAACATTTAAAAATGACCTAAAAAAAGATGCAAATATGACATAAAAATGACAAAAAATTTTCTTAAAAAATAACCTAAATAATTACAAATATTTGTTTTAAATTAATGAAAATAAATTTTTTTTAAATATTTTATTCTATTTTACTATAACATTCTATATAAATTTATCAAAACTTACAAATTTCTCAAATTATGACATAAAAATGACAACAAATGTCCTTAAAATATGAACAAAAAAAAAATGACAAACATTTGTTTTATAAATTTATCAAAGCTTACAAATTAAGTAATACTCACCCACAATCACCTCTCTGAAATAAACAATGATCATGTACAATTCTTGTACGTACTCCTCAAAGCTTGTTTCCCAAGAAAGTAGTAAATCACCGAAAAACTAAATTCTTTAGCGAATACGACATTTTGAAAAATAAACAAAAAGAATCCGAAATGGGTTGAGAATTTTAAACTGTTCTTCTCTATACCATATTGTGGAATTAGAATAAGCTATTATGTATATACCTAGATGTGCCTATTATTTCAAAGCCCTATGCATACCAATACGTTATAACGACACCGATATTTATTATATCCCAAAGCATTATTGAGTGCAGCTTGTGATTAAACTTAACAGTCAACACCATATCCACACGATGACAACGATATATGTTATTGTATTGCCTATTATGGAATTTAAAATGGTTGACATCGAATAATGAGATCACATATGTTCTATTACGATTCAAGGCCAGGTTTATACGGTACTACCTTTTACCTATGTATTCAAATATAATGTTGAACAAATCGGTTGATTTTCTAAAAATAATTAATACTTATACCGAAAATATGAAATTAACATCTTAAAAAAAATATGTAACACTCAATAATTTGCTTTGAAAAACCACAATATTTACAGTATCAATATTTTTTTATTTTTATAGCATTTTCATGAATTTTTAAGACCACCTAATAAAGAACAACTGACATGTTGTAAATCACAATATAGCTAGTCCCAATAAAGTTTAAATGTCTAATTTAATACTTATATTTTTTTCTTAAAATTAAACGATATCTAAAATCTAAAAAAGGTAAACAACTAAAACTAGAAGGCAAATATTATTGTTTTTAATACGGTGAATTCGCAAGAACAAATGTTTTATACTTACAAATCGTATAGTGGAATACACTGGTGAAACAACTATACGTTTATCAATCAAGTAATAGTAAAAATAAGTAATTGGCAACCATTCCAGTAATTCACTATACAATATAAAAACTTAAATATCTACTCATTTAAAACGTTAGTTAAATTTTAACGGGTCTCCCTTTTTTTTTATTTTCCATAAACAAATTAAACAATTTCAAAAGTGTAAATTTGAAGAAAAAAAAATAATTTGACTTTGAAATGTCTTAACATTTTAATTAAATTAAACAATTTTTCAGCAAGTTTATAAATGTCATATAATAATTTAAAATTGTATTCGTTCTACTTGCAGCTATACTTTTTAATATGTATGTATATATATTTACATATAATTAGTATTATAACTGTATATATTAAAGTAAATCTATTTTCAATACATGGTTTTAATTTCAGGTGCTATATACCTGTACATTATCTTTGTATAGGTATGTATTATAAAAGTATTTAAGTAATAAGTAATAGTTATATATAAGTGTAAATTATAATTTAATTTTCGAGCTTTTATTAATTATAGAATATAATTA